CCCCAAAACCCCAAAACCCCAAAACCCCAAAACCCCGTATCGAACCAACCCTGTAATATAATTTAATTGTCAATATAAAGTAGAACAATGGCAGAAAAAGACTCAAGATTAAAGAAGTTTCTAATCAGGTTGAAAGTAAAGCATCATAAGCCAAATTCTCATGACTTAGTATGTCTTTCTGACAGCACAACTAAGAGCACTATTTTATCTAGAGATTTCACCTCTCGAAAGAAATGCTCTTTTAATAAATTTGAAGATGTATTAAGACGGAGTAAGTTCAGCTTAAAAGGCCAATACAGATCTCAAATCTGAGAGAATTTTAGAAATGGCTAAATTTGTATAAAAATTTATACATGAATTTCATTAGCATTTTAGTAAATTATGAAAGACTCTTAAATGCATTGGTTAATGTGACAATTAAGACTAATTCATCATCATAGATGAAGAGACTTTGGGGAGGATACATAATGGGACACCTCAAGCAGAAAAACCAACGAGAAAGAAAAGAGAGTAATTAAGTGTAGTAATTTGTAGAATGTTCTTTACTTCTAAAAGAAGAGCTAAGCTCAGTTCTGATCAGCTTACGATACCAGCTTTGATGTCTTCTAACTCGACACATGAGCCAAAGCAATTGAATAATTCATTAATGCCAAAGAATAGCAAGGGGATCCCAATGCTATCTAATTTTTCAGAATTATTTAATATGAGTAAGTTATTCACCAAATCGTACTTTGTAAAATCCCAGATTTTAAAATGTTCTAGAACGTATTAAGGTTGAAGAAAAGAGGCAACCAAGAGTAGCCCTGAGGAGCTCTTTGAACACTAGATTTGATGATTTAATTCCTCCTAAAAGTAAGGCATATCTTAACCAACTAACTTATTTAGTACCTTGAAAGAATCCTCACAAAGCTCTTGACTATGCGAGGGAGGTTCTGGAGGAATGAAAGACAATTAAGACTAATCCAAACAAGTTTATTTCAAAGGAATCTGATAGCTCAGCTAGGTAATTTTCAGTTTAAAGTTAGAAACTTTGTAAAATATCACTATTTAGGAATTCACATGTTATTCTGGAATACAAAGTTATGCCTGTTAAATTTGATCTATTCCTTTTAAGACTAAAAAGACTTTACTGAAGTGATAGGACGTTCTCTTGTCTAGAACAAATCATTAACTAATGACACTCCTTCAGTCTATTAAAATCTTTCATCCTGTCCACCATCCCAAGTGTCCCAATACTTAAGCTTATTTCGAAATTTTCATAAATTCCTTCACCTTAATCCACTTTAAAAATCCCAAATTTTTGACAAAACTCTCAATTTCCAGCTCTAAACCCTCCTTTAGGCCAAATATTCTGGACTTTACGAAGAAAATAAAGATTTTGCGAAGGAAAAAGTGCCTCGAAGGGGCACTTTCTGTTTCGAAACATCGATTTAAGCTCATGAATAAGGTACCTAAAAATTGGGTTTTACAGGAGACATGTAGAGATTTTAAAGAATTTTTAATTTAAAAGGGAGTATAATAGAGTTAAATAACTAGCTGAAGCAGAGGTTTTTAGGTGTTTTAGGAAAGATCTTGAGGGCTTAGTTAAGAGAATTTGGATATGGAGAGGCGTGGAAGAAGAGATTTATGATTATTTTGGGATTTTAATGGATTTGAGAAAAGGGTAAGGATATTGGATTTTGGAAGAATTGTTTGGATTTTGAATTTTATGGTGGAGAGAGAAAATTTTTAGAAAATGGAGAAAAGTAGAATTAGGGGGGAGTTTGAGAGGGTTTAGAGGTATTTTAAGAATGAGGAAAGCAATTTTATGTATGGAAGGTTTTGGTTTAAAGAGAAAATAGGATCATTGTGTTATGATTTAGAGGGTTTTTACCATTTTGTTAATTGGGAAAATTTTCTTGAGCTTTGGATTTTAGCTTCATAACCACCAATTTTCAGAATCGAAATTTTCATTGACAAATACTCTTCACAGCAATATTTACCTTTTTTAATGCTTCAACTAAAGCATCTCTAGCTCTCAAATACCAAACTAGCACAAGTTGGTGAAAACTACTTATTTTTAATTTTTCTTAGATTTCCTGATCATTTACATATATTGAGCAATCACATTATTATTTGAAAAAGTCTCTATCATTCCTTTACTCATTAAATCTTCATCCATGCTCTAATTCCCAATACTAAGACCACCTGGCTCATTCACAGCTCCTCCTAATCCATCAATCTCCAACCAACTACCACAACTTTACACCCTCTAAAGTTCCTTTAGAAAGCAAGTGAGAACGAGTCCAAGCCAGAATTCAGCCTTCCCAACCTCTAACCTATATTCCTTAATTTCAACTTCTAAGCCAATAATTGGGGTTTTGGGGTTTTGGGGTTTTGGGG